AAAATGCTAGTGGTGAAAATAAATAACCTTTGGAAGAACTTACCAGGAGGTACCACTGGTCTTCTTCACAGGAAACTTCAAAGCCAGGCTTTTTGGAAAGGATGGGCTCCAAACAAAGCACACAGTGGTCTGTATGAAGTGACATGTGCTTTACAGGGGGCAGGTTGGAGGGCTACAACTCTCATTCCAGATTTAAAAATTGGTGGCTCTGCTTCCCTGGGGATGTGCCCTCCAATGCCCCAATACGACAGTTGTAGGTGCCGAGGGGAATACCAGGAGAATGGACAGCAGGTGGTGGTCCCTGCCTACGAGCTGACTTGAAATGCCATCTCCTGTAGTCACTGCTGGGGACAGGCTGCTGGGCTGGAGGGACCGTTGCACTGAGCTAATGAGACATTTCTTATGTTCTTGCTTAAAAGGTTTGGTGGACAACAGAGGAAAATGATAACTAACAGTGCAAACACCTCTCCTCAAAACCTGCCGTGAGACCCAGGAGAGCAGATGAAGCTTCATACATTAAGATTACATCTAAAGGATGTAGAAAACTGCCTGATGTCCCAGCCAGGTGAGGGGAAATGCATCCTCAGCATGCCCTATTCCCCCCAAGACTACAAAAGGAGCTGGGCTGATGCACTCAGATGTAGACACTCACAGGAGAGGTGCCTAGTTGGCATGGATCCTGCTCCTCCAGCCCCTAGCCAGGCAGAAAATGGAATTGCACCTTGGCTAGAAGGTGACAGGGACCTGTTTAAATAGCCAACTAGCATCCCTAGAAGGCAGAGCTGAGGGTGTAAAAGGGGTCCTTCCCTGCCCCAGGGTGCAGGGAAATGTAAGTAGCAGAGACAGAGTACGTCCCATGTCAGTCAGCACTGCTAGAAATCCTACCGGCAGTCAGCAACGGGGCCGCACAAGCAGGCTGGTAAGCTGCCTGAATGGACACTAATGATGCCCTGAACAGCACCTGCCTCTCCCATCCTTGGGCTAAAGACTAGTGCCAGTGTTGTCCGAGGCGGATTAGGTTTCCCCTATGGCTGTCAGTAATGGAGGGCAGCCTGGTGCCATCTGCATGGGAGTCATCCCGTGGATGTCAGTGAGAGGCGCTCACCCAGGTTTATGCAAGTAGGGATGAGAAGGGACTTGGATTCACTGTGGTGTCTGGTGGGGCAGGAAAGGAGAGAGAGCAGCATGGACGAAGGTCACCCCCAAAAGTGCCCAGTCAGAAAGATAAAGAAATCTGATTGAAACCCGAGCCCTGCAATTTAACGTTGGGTTTGAACTGAGCGATGCATCTCCCAGGCTGTCGTCCTGCCAAGTCGCACAGTGCCTGGGCACCCGCAGTTTCCCACAGGTGTTTCCCTTTCACCTCGGCAGCTTGGACTGAAACCAAAGCAGGCAAACTGGAAAGCTAGTGCCGCTGCGGCCAGTTTTTGTGTCTAACTGATCCTATTATCGTGCTAACCTGATGCAGCTGCACCAGCAGCTGAGCTGTTAGAGCGTTATAATCCCATGTGTATTACAGTGATGCCACTAGAGCTGCTAATTTGGCAAAATCTGGATCCTAATGAAGATTTAGTCTATGGCCTTTTGCCATGTCACACTTACATGTTACAGAATTAACCATCTTGGAAATAAAGGCTACAGTCACCAGAAATTTGCAACCAGCAGTTAAATGGGATTCATCAAGTGCCTCTTGCACATGGACTTGTTCCTCCTCTCTCTGGCTGCATCTATACAGCTAAATAACGCCATCAAGGACCCGCTCCATGGTTTGAGGTCAGGTAGGGCAGCAGACCTTGCATCCCCAAGCCTGGATGAGACCACCACAAACCCAAATTAATGGAGTTACACTGGTTGAGAGCCCCTGTATGTGAAAGCAGAAGACCGGGATCCACACCCGCACACCAGACCATGCTGCTGAGCTTTTGCTTGCAAGCGAAGCTGCGTGCACGGCCAGCTGCCGCGGCTCAGTGGATGTAGGGTCCCTTGTCAAGCTGGTGCTAAGTCGTGTGTTGAAATGCAGTAAGTGGGTGCTGCGTGTGGGTCTCAGGACACGAACAATATGGGCAATAAAACATTTTCCAAAAGTGTCACCATGAACGTGAACTCACGCACTGAGCAGGAGTTACCTTCAGATGCACTGAGTGCTTGTTTTCATCCTTTTTCACAAATATTGCTGGCGGGGAGATGCTCCTCAGAAGGTCGCCTGTAGAAAGCGAGATGGGCACAGATGCATACGGGGATTTGGGCACTGCAACGGTCCCTCGCCCACCCTTGAAGGCTGTCTTTTCTTTGCAAGAACGACAACCCTTTTTGTATACCATCCCAGTGGCCAGGATGTATATTTAGGTTGAAGATGTCCCTGTGCGCCTGTGGGATCAAGGACACCTCTTCTGCCTCCCCAGGAAGGCAGCTGGGTCTCAGGGGGGCTGGACCACGGCACTGCCAGAGCCCCAAGGCTGGCTGAACAGCAGGGAGGAGGGATGCCATCTCTGCTGCCCACAGATGTGGTTGTGCCCCCCAAGCCTAGGCATTCAGTTGAGTCAATCAGTCAAACGGAAATAATCCCCGGGGATTTAGGTGGTGATAACCAACGTAAACAGCAAGGACCTTTTGCTTGTTTAAGGCTTTGATGGCAGACTACTTGCACTAAAAACTGGCAGACTGAAATATGCTAGTATAAAGTGTTTGTGCAGCTACCAACTACAAATCAGAAATAAATAAATAATAAATAGCTGGATGCTTACAGCTACTTTTGGAATGGAGAAAAGGATACATTTAAGCAAATCAATTCACTCACTTGTCCTCAAGTCCGTCTGAAAATATTCTCAAAGTGTCTCTCGGCGCTGCAAAAATTATCTCCTGTTCTCATTTACATGCAAATGTTAAGAACTGAGAGATACAGATTCCTCCCATCTTCGATGTTTTTGTGGGGGGACTGTGTTGTCGGCTGTTCCAGCATTCACGATTTCCCACTTATTTATCTACTCAGGCCTCTTTTTTTTTTTTTTTTTTTTTTTTTTATTCCACATTATTTTTGCAGTTTGCAAG